TATAATTAATTTTTAAAAATTATAAATTAATAAAATATTATTTAAACTAAATATAATTTATGTAGTCTTAATAACTGAGGAGACAGCACCGGCACATCAAGGGAAAAGGAGGAATTTTCACGGCTGGATAATTTTGAATGTACTTCCAGACGCTATAAATTCAATTCATTTTGGCTTTGGGGAGATAAGGAATGAAAAGTTTCCAATGCGACAAGAGTTGGTTATTTCATAATTTTAACTATAAAATAAAAATAATTAAATAAAAAACAGACTTTAATATTAAGAACTCATCTATATTTTATAATTATTTTTTTGCAATAGTAATTTTGTTAATGCAAATATAAGAATACTTAATTAATCCATACAACTACCAAATGATAATCTATTTTATTTATACATACTTACAATATTACATTTTATAATTTATGTTATACACTTTGTTACTGTTTGTATAACATTATACTTTATTTTTTGAGGAATTAAAATATTAATTCCTTATGGGTTGCCAAATGGCAATTACTACCGCCCAAAAATTGAATGAATCACATGATATATGCTTACTTCTACCTTAGAGAATACTATTATTCTCCCTTTGAACATTTTAGATATTAAGATTACTAATTGAGTTAAAGTTGATCCTAAATACTAATGTTTTGTATAAGATGCATTCTCAAAAAGTTGGATGGAGTATTAACATACTGAAATTAATTAGAGGTACTATAAATTTTAATAAATTAATTATTAATAGGATGATAATAAGAGATAAGGGGAATGAAAAATCAACCCACGCTAATTATAATTCATGGAGTAGTAGAGTGATTGGTGTTATTTACATTTTTGGAATTTGCGTCTCCAATCAATTGTCATTAGTCTTTTTAACTTCAGTTAAAAAAATCTAGCGTCATTAGTCTATCTCTATCAATTCATTTTTCTACCATATCAACCAACTACTCCAACTTCTAACGACACTCCAAAAATATCAAACTTCATGTGTTGTCAAGATTGGATGTATTTTTAGAGACTAAGTCTGTTAATTTCCGTGTTCCCTCCCATAAACCACTCATACAGGCCACTAACTCTAAGCACTTACTTTCAAGAAAACGTTCTCCCATGCAAGATCATGAATTGATTTTATTTTGTTCTCCCATGTGATTGGGAACGGATACCTTCAAAAAAGTGGGACCTCCAGATGCATTATTTTGTTGATCACGGGTGGCATTAATTTTTCTTTTCCTCTTTGGTTCCCATTAGATGTTTCGACAAATATGGCTCTGATTTTACTTTACCTTTAGTGGAGTTATTTATCTCTAGTCTCTACTCATTATTTATCTGTTGATTCTTTAATCTTGTGATTATTTGATTGAATTTTACTAATTATCAATACTTGATCGAATGGTACAGCAGCTTCCACCTATTATCTTATTTTGGTGCCCATCAGCTGGTTGTTGAAATGCCCTATAGATACTCTAAGCCAAATTTGCACATAAAATTTTAGATTAATTTTACCTTATCCTTCTGTTACTCTATTTACCCTCTCTTTATTTTTTTCAGGATACCTCACTTATGATCCCCACGTTCCGGTTGACTTGCTACAGTCACTAATTACATGTTCCACCTCCGTGACACCCCTTTTCCTATTTTTCGGGTGCCACTAATATGTACTGATTGCCCTCTTTAAAAAAAAAAAAAATTACACCTCATTTATCTGTCATTCTAGTGTTCCCACTAAAACCATTAGTGCAGGCCAATGACTCTGAAGAGTGAAAAAGCTTGCTGTAGTGCAATTATGCAAAGTCATGAATTGATTGCTCTCTGTTCCAGGGCATGTGATTGTGGACCAACAGCTCAAAATTCTAATGAGACCGGACGGGAAAGAAATGAGTGCATCGGATTTGAAACTCAAAGCAAAAGCAATGCTAGAATGGATAGCTTTGTTGAACACGAGGTGCTCAGCTTTTACTTTTTCCTCTTTAGTGCCCATCAACTATATGTTGTACAGATATTGACTATAAATTAAGTCTGGGTGAAGAATGATAGGATGATTTTACTTTATTTTTTATTTTAATTATTTATTATTATTTATGTATTGATTTTTTAATCTTGCATTTACTTGATTAGACTTTGCTAGTTGTTATTAATACTAAATTGAAATTTTCATATTGAACTTTTTGTTTTTTCTTTAGATAACAAAATGCATATTAATCGTTGGATGAAGGATTATTTGCAACAGAAGATTAGTTACTGGCTGCCATAATTTTTCAGGGAATACGTAATTAGAAAAGGATGATCAAGGATTTAGTGGCAGTGGCACATCAAGGAGAATGGGGGAATTTTTGTAGTTGGATAACTTTGAATTTACTTCCAAAGGCTAAATTCAATTGATTTGGGCTTTGGGAAGATGGGGAATGAAAAGTGCAAAGCAAGTAATAAGCCTGAGAATCGAATAACCAAGATAAGAACAGAGAATTTATAGACTTTACTGCTTATTTGATTAGTTTTAGTGGTTATATTTTGATTAGATTATAAAAATAAGTTGATATTGATAACTGCTTAGAAGGAGTTAAACTTTGATTCCAAATTTTCTTTTTACATTAGCATAAAATCAAAAAATGCATATAAAAAAATTCCTTAAAAACTGAAAGCAATATGTATATTTTTTAATTCATTTATTAGTTTAGTAGAAAATTTTTAACATTTAGATTTAGTTATTCATAATTTAGTAAAGACGATTATCAAATTTAATTTATTTTTATAATTTAACTAATGATTCATTTGAGAATTTTGTGTTGGGTTGTAGCATGATGTTGGTTTTTTTTTTTATCATTTTAAAAATATAAAAAATATTAATTAAAATCAATAAAAATATATATAATATTAAATAAAATTAATTAAAAATAATAATTTTACATTTTAAAGTAAGATATTATATAAAAAAATTTGTAGGAAACATTTTTAAATGAAGCCTAAAATTTCATATGTATGCATCCATTATACTGTTTTAGAGCATTTTACAGCAAAAAAAATTCAAATTTCAAACTTTTCAAACTTGTTTCAATCCGTTGGCAAGCACTACCAGCTTAGCTGGGTTGATAATGTATAATAAAAATTTTAATTTATGTTAAAATTTAAGTTTTTATAGAAATAGTTTAAACACTTTTTTTTTTTTCAAAATTTCCTTGGTTAACAAAAAAAAAAATCCACTGGCCAAGGTATACATTTTTCCCGTGGAGACCAAC